AGCAGCAGCCCCGACGCGCTGCCAGAGACCACGAGCTTCGACCAGCTGCAGGCGCTGCGCAACGTGCAGCTCATCGAGCGCAACGAGTACCCTCTGAAGCACTTGGCGCGGGACAAAGTGCGCCGTCGCAGTCGTCGAGATGAGGACGAAGACGAGGAAGAAGGCGCGCTGTGCTTCTGCACGTTCCCGGACGCGGCGGAGCGCGAAGAAGCCGAGCAGAAGGGCGAGCCGGTGCGGCGCTGCGACGACGTGTCGTGCCTCAACTTCGCCACGTATGTCGAGTGTACAGCGTCCTGCCCCACAGGTCAGTACTGTAGGAATCAGAGACTGCAACATCCCGAGCGATATCCGCATCTAGAACCGTTCAAAACGGAGCACAAGGGCTACGGCGTGCGCACTAGACAGCATATCCCTCAATTAAGCATCGTGGGGGAGTATGTGGGCGAGATTATCGACCAGAAGGAGCTGGCGCGACGCCTGAAAAGCGTTCCGAGACACGAACTTAACTTTTACTACTTATTACTGGCCCCTGGAGTGTACATTGACGCCCGCAATAAAGGCAGCTTCACTAGGTTCGTCAACCACAGTTGCGAACCTAATTGTAAGACGGAGAAGTGGACAGTTAAAGGGGAGACACGAATCGCAGTGAGTGCGTTGAGGGACATTGAAGTAGGCGAGGAATTGACGTTCGACTATAAGTGGAAAGCGCTCGGATCCAGACAGATCAAGTGTTTTTGCGGAGCTCCGAGCTGTAAAGGAGTCATCGGCACGCAGAACGAGACGCTGCAGAACGCAGAGGCACAGACAGGATACTTCCGAGATCCAGAGAAGCAGGAAATTGGCAACGCACTTGTGGGACGCCGTGTACGAGTGTTCCTGTCTCCTGAGGATAAAACGGAGTACGATGTTCAGCTTATTAAGGGTTACGACGAGCAAAAAGATCGATATGAAGTGGAGGATTTATTGGAGCCTGGAGGGTATGAGACGGATGAGAATGACACGGAGGAGGAGCAGGATGCGACTGAGAAGCAGTACGTGCAACTTAAGGAGAACGGATGGCAACTTTACTGTCCTCCTGGGGACAAAGAGGGCGGACAAGTGTTTGCCATCCCCAAGAGACGAATCCCAGTCACGAATGCTGATAGTAGAGATCCCTCACCTAAGAAGGAGACGATGACACCGTCCCCTGTACGTACACCATCTCCAGTGGCGACGGCGAGACTGGAGAACAACTTCAATACTCAAAAGAGGAACGAATATGGCGAGCTGCTGGACCGTGAGGGAAAAGTTGTGTCCAATAAGCTGCTGGTCAAGTTTTTACCCAAGGAATACGACGAACGTGGCCTCCGCAGCTTGTTTATCAGTCGAAAACACCCGCATGCACTGGTGAGCGCCGATGTCTTCCACTTCTTGGACGGTACAGGCTGGGCGCTGGTGGAGTTGGAAAATTACGAGCTCGCGTCTTCATTTCGACGGACTTTGGACCGTCGCAACCTGCTGGACAAGATGTTGCGAGTGTATCAAGCGGGCACCAAGGAGCTGGATAATTTCCGTCATCAGAAAACAAAAGTGCAGATGATGCGGCAAGCGGGGATTACGAGCAGTTCTTTGGCTTCTGAAGAGAAGGAGAATGTGCAAGAGAAGAAAATAGACCCGTATTGCTTCGGCAGGAAGCTCAACTGGCTCGTTACTGAAGACGAATTGAAGAACTTATCGGTGCAGCAAGTTTTATCGGCGTCACTGGAAGAAACGCTGCGAGTCAAGTACGTGAAGAGCATTTTCCACATCGCCAAAGGACTGCGACTGGACCGAGAAGATGCTACCAGTGCCATCATCGCGCTCAACAGATATTTCACGTTCCACACGATGCCAATGGAAGTGGATATCTATGCTGCGACGATGTTACACTTGTTCTTGAAGGCTCATGCTCGCAAAGTACCGTGGACAGCGTTTGTTAAGGAAGTGTACAAGGCCAAGCACGGTTTGTCAGCTGCCGAACGTCTCACAGCCGCGTCCCCCGAGCTTGGAGTGCTTAAACGACATTTGGTTAAAGCGGAGAGCGAACTGCTGGAAGGTCTGCACTATGATGTAACGGGGGAAGATCCGTACGCGTTGCTGGACCTCCTGACAACGCGCAAGAGCTCGAAGAAACTGGTCGCGTTGTCTCAAAACGGCTATGGACACCACATAACCCCTTTTCTCTCTTCATTGCCGCCTCCAGAGGTCCAAAAAGAAGCAAAGCACTTGGTGGCAGAGGCCTTGCCGTTGCCCATTTGGAGGCACACTCCGGTGGAGTGCGTGATGCTCAGTGTGGTGTATGTAAGTGCGGCCGTAACTGAAGCTCTGAGCTCTCGCCCAGCGCCTTTTATCTGCAAGATCCCCGACTTCTTGCCTCAACTAGACCTGCAAACAAACGCCAGCGAAGCGCGCATGTTGTTGGACTGCTCGTTATCGATCTGTACGCAGCTGAAAGACCGGTGGGTGCGTCTGGAGAAACAGTCCAAGTCGGCACAGCAGAAACAACCGAAGGATGCGAACGCGCCTGACTTCGATATGACACAGTTCGACGTCTCGAAGGACAAAAAGGACGTGTACATTTCGGAAAGGATAGCTCGGTTGCTCAAACAATGGATTAATCTCCCTGCTCCCAGCTTGTCATCAGCTTTAGGCGCAGTTTCGACAGTGTCCGCTACGGGAATGGGGAATTTTCCGACTGTATCACCCTCGCACAATACTGGGAAGAGGTGTATCACGTTCAAGGAGATGGGAAGCTCCGTACCCATTCCCAGCTCAACAAGTCAAACCAGCGATAACTTGGGGATCGTCTCGGCGCTATCGATCTCTCCCAAGAAGTCTGCATCTGGTACAAATGACTCAAATGTGGGCGATGTTCGCATACACACAGACGAGATCGTTAAGGTCGAGTCGATCCGGAAACGAGCGTTCTTGGGCGTCATCTCGAGTGACGTGGGCTTCGACTTAGCGGGGAAGCCTGTGTATTTGCAGTCGTGGCCGTATCTCGAGCAGGAACTGTTCTTCACGGAGGAAAAGGGCATCAACGAGGCGTGTTTACGGGAACTCTCTGCGGCGACCACTCTCTCGTCACTCTTGCCTGATCGCTTTATGAAGCTCCATGGAATTATCTTTCCTGCTGATCGGAAAGACCGTCAAGCGAGTGAGTCGAAGACTGGAAAAAACTCCGACGTTGACGAGCTGGACTTACTCGCTGCTACTATTGATGATGACGGAAACCCTCTGCCTGAAGGTATCGATCGTCTGGCTCGACAGAAACATTACTTGGCCTTCGAGCAGCCACTGCACATGTTCTCGGGGATCTTTGAGGCGCACGTTCCTCTGTCTTCGACGTTGCGTAAGAAGGCCATCTTCGATATGCTTCAGAGTCTCGCAGCCGTGCACGATCAAGGATATGTACATCGCTTTATTGCTCCATCGCATTTGTTGGTGTTCAAGAACGGCATCAAGCTTGGAGGCTTCCACTCGATGCGTAAGATCGCCAACATCAAGCCCAAGGACGGAGAAGGATCGACTATTGCTGGCTACGAGATGAGTGATAGCGAGCGTAAAGAACACTGCTATGGTGCGTGGCTGTACGTGACTGCACCTGAGGTTCTGCTCGGAGAGACCAAGTACACGTGGCGCTCCGATGTGTGGTCGGCTGGGTGTGTGGTGCTTGCAATTCTTCTCGAGAAGATCCCCTTCCTTCAAGGACAGGACGTCAAGGTGCAGCTGGATCTGATCTATCGCTTGTGCGGCACTCCGAGCATGTCGTGGGAAGGCGCGCATAAACTCCCGCTGTACAACGCCTTCCGACCCAAACACGAGTACAAGATGCGTCTCCGCAAGACGCTACTGGAGCAGCGATCCAAATTCCCAGACTTCCCCGAAGATGCGGTCGAAGTGCTGGAGGCTATGCTCCAGTTGGACCCTGCAAGACGCAGCACGGTGAAAAAACTCCTGGACATGCGCTACTTTGACAGTGTTCGGAGTGGTGAGAGAACGTTCGACTTCAGTGACTTGCCCTCGACATTTCCAGTGCAGAAGAAGAAACTCGTGCAGCACTTACTCAAGGCGAAGGCCAAGAAACACCGTAGTGCTGGCAGTCGCAGCACCTCATCGCGATCATCTCATCACCACCGACACAGTGAACATCGCCACAAGCGATCGTTGTCTACACATGATGGTTTGGTGGAGAAATCGAGCCATCATGATCGACACAAGTCCAGAAGCGACAAGCGGAAATCGAGATCGTTGTCTACGTCGCGCAGAGATGTCAAGCATGCTGATACCGAGGATTCGGAGATGCAGGATGTCAGCGAGTATGTCCCGTTGCCAGCGAGCTTTACAGCCTCTGCTGGATCTTCACCCTCACGCTCGACCGACGACAGTTTGCCTCCTCGTGAAAAACGGATGAAGCTTGGCTGGGGAATGGGACTCAACTCCGTATCATAACGATACAAACGTCAGTGTTAGGGACCATGACGAGACATCATAGACAACATGAACATCAGACCCAAAGATCAATAGACTCTATCAGTTAGCCGCATTGTGGGCTCTGTCTCGCTGTGTAAACAAACATGTTGGGCTTACGCGAAGAGACTGCCGAAGCCGGTGTCGAGGCACTTCTCGTACGAGTCGCGGCGTCGAAGCTTCTCTTGGCCTTGTCTATGACGTCGGTACCAGCTCGTCTCGGCTGCATATGTCACCTTCTTGGCTTCGGGCCCAGCGTTTTCGCTTTGTGCCTCCTTCAAACGCATGGCCAGTTCGTCGACAATTTCCACCATTTCATCTTGTGATTTGGCGGCTGCAAGAGCGTCGCGCAAGTCCGAGTGCATCCGCAGGTCTTGGAACAGGATCTTGAAGAGATGAGCTCGGACGATCTTGTCGCTTGCAGGCGGGTACAGCGTCGCACACTCCAGATACTGCTTGGCCAGCTCCAAGAACGACGTATCTTCACCCGGTGTGTTGTTAGTTTCAGCAAACAGCGCTGGGTTCTCCAATAGCCCCTCAGAGCTCATGACACCGTCACAGCCTGTGGCCTCCAGACAGCGAGCAATGTCCTCGTGAGTCTCGATGCCTCCGTTTGCGATCACTGGGATCGTCAGCCGCTCCTTAATGCGTCGGATGATATCCCAGTCTACTTCGCGCACCGCTGTCTTGTTCATCTCTTTGGTGCGACCGTGCACAGTCAGCAGGTCACATCCAGCCTCCTGCAGCATGTCTGCGAACTCCAGCGTTTCGTTGTCGTCAGGGAACACACGGATCTTGACTGTAACGGGGATATTCAATCCAGCACTCAGCGTCTCCACAATGGCCTTCACTGTATCCTTGTCGTGCATAAGAAAAGACCCGTAGTGGCCCTTACGAGCGATACCCTGCGGACAGCCCAGGTTCAAGTCCACGGCGTCGCAGTGGCCCTCCACCATCTTAGCCGCTGCCAACACTGTCTTCGGATCATTTCCACAGAACTGGCAAACAGAAGGACATACATCCTTGTCAGTAATAGAAACTCACATGTTTGTAAAAGCCCATTGAAATATGGAACATACCTGCACGACGAGTGGCCTATCTTGAATGTGGTGCTCGAACATTTTCTCGCGGTATTCGGCGCTCTCGGCAAACAGACGACTGTGGAACATCGGTGTGTAGCAGCACTCGGCGCCCAGCTTTCGGCACAGCATGCGGAAGGCCAACTCCGACTGGTCTACCTAAAAAAAAAGCATACACGTTGCGTCAATCAACGTTTGGACAGGCTTATATGATGGCGTTATGATGCTAATTCGCATACAATTGACTACGCCAACTTACCATGGGTGCCACGATGTGTTTGGGCGAGCCGATGGCGCGGTAGAAGTCGTAGCCGCGCAGCTTCACCATGGTTGTCGGTTGCTGCTCTGCCATTTGATGCACTGCCGCGTGATTGGCCACCTCAATATATTATGTGGCGAACACAGCTTTAAACTAGCCAATCACCGATATGCTGCCGTTGCCCTTACAATCGCCAAGATCATTTCAACTGGAATCAGCCACATCAAACCGCAGGCGAAGAGCAACGGTGAGTGCGCACTCGAGCCATCTTCGTGACCTTCACTCTGCATCCCGCACTCCCGCGCGCACTCAACGGATACTTGTACGCTTCGGGCAGAGGATCGCACCATGGGCGACAGTGTTGCGGCTCTATGGGACAGCGAGCTGCTGCGTGCACGCCAATGGCTCGCGGCTACTCGCAGGGCCAAGCACCGGGGGAACGATCGGCTCTTCCAGCGCGTCAAGGCGCACATTGGCTACAAAGACCATCAGCTCTCGCTGCAGACCGAGACAACAGCCAGTGAGGACGAAGATGACGGAGCACTGGACTTCCTGGGTGATGTGGATGTGTCAGACATGAGCGCGTTGCTGCAGGCCGAGGCGGCCAAGGCGGCAGCCGCCGCGACCCCAGTTGAACCCGCATTGAGTGCTGGAGACCTCATGAAGCCGTTAGAGATGCCGAACAACCTGGTGTCCCCTAATTTAAAGCCTAAGACCAAGGCGGTGCCCATGTCGCAGTTGGATCCAAAGGCGCTGGGGACTTCAACGACGAGTACCATGACTGCTAGCGCGACGTTAGGGGACGATTCGTCGGTTAACGAGCTCCTGCAAGAGCTGAATGTGCAAGTGCATCATTCGGATTCTGAAGAGACCAAGACGGAAGAGAGCACGCCACCTCATTTATTGAAGAGTTTTGGAGATGATAAGACGGGAGGCAATGGAATGCAAGTGCAGACGGGCAGAGCTCAGTATATGCACCAGGTATCGTCCAAGAGTCCTCAAGATCCTCACAAAAAGAAAGCAGCAGCTCCAGTTACCGCTACGACGAAGCCGGATGATGTTACTGCTGAGATGTTGAGTTGGGTGACAGGATACCGAGACCCGGAGGTGATCCGACGCAAGGAAAATATGCGACGGAAACGGAAGCATACTCACCGCTACGGTATGACTTCAGAGGAGGAACAACACCAGGTTTTGTTGCAGGTCAAGAGGATCATACGTGAAAGTGACAGCGACAGCGAAGACGACATGAGCAGTGACTACTCGCCAGCAGAAGATGAAGAGATTCCTGAACCAGACGAGCCTGATGTGGTGGATCTACTCAGTGACGATTATTTGGATAGTGACGAGGATAAACGACCGGCAAAGCGAAAAAGGAAGCGACTGCGTCAGGCGGAGATATCGACGAAGAAGAAAAAGACTCATTCACGAAAACCCGCCGTCACACGAAAAGTGACACAGGGTGCCACCAGCAGTACGACATCGTCGCCGGTGAACGTGCAGGAAGCACGCCCATTAAGTAGTTCTGCAGGAAATGGAACTGGTCTCACGCCTGCTACGACCACAGAAGAATCCGATGACGGGAAGCCAAATCATCCGATCGAGCTTTTGTCTAGTGGAGATGAAACAGGAGACAGCGACAAGGGCAGCACTCCGCAGGTTCATGTTGATCATTCGAAGAGCAACCATAGTGCTGATAGTAATGCGAAAGATTCGGAAGTTTCGAAGGAATCGACGATCTTGCGATTGAAGATTCCCCAAGATCGGCTTCTGGAAGAACATAATCAGGAACAAGAGCCTAACCCAGCGGAAGCAACCAATGCATTTTCGACAGCTCCTGGTGCGGTGGATAAAATATCGGCAGATAGCGTTATCCCTTCTGGCGTAGTTTCCCCCGAAACTGCAGCTGCCGAACGAACTCAGGAAAGTGGTACACATGATGACTCTACAAACATTACGAATACGGCGATGCATCCTTCAGGTGCCAGTGATGACGATGCTGATCTTTCGGACACGGGGACTGTTGATTTCGAGGGAGAGGATTTGTCGGTTGAGACGGAGGAAAATATTGACCAAGATAATAGTATTGCGGCTGAACTGGTGGTTGATAGCGGTATTGATAAGGAACAACAGGGCCCAGATGTAAATGCAGGCGAGAAGCAAGGGAAGGCAGAGCATGCTAGTGGCAAAGCACAGTCTAGTGCAGAACTGGAAGATGACGATGTGTCGGAAGCTGAAACGGAGATACTGGATGACGACGAACCAGACACAGACGACCTCGGACTCGATTACAGTGATGACAGTGACTCCGGTGATAAATCTCCGAGCAATGCGAAGAACACAGCGCGTGGCGAGGTCGACACCGCTACAAGTAGCAAGATGGACGACGGCACAACATCCAAGGAGAAATCGACATCTGAAAGGAGCGGCGATTGTAGTCCAAATGGGAAAACAACTAGTGGGGACAAAATTGATGCTTCGAGAGCTGGAGTGCAGCAATTCTTCGACTTCACGCCGCTCAAATTGAAACCCAAGACCAAGACCACAACTTCTACTGCCCCGAAGCCGTTGCCGGTGCACACCTACGATGAAACTCACAGGAAGAAGAGAGAAAGTGCTTCTGGGAAAGCTGCAGACGACCAAAAGAAATCCTCCGTCACGCCTACAAAGTCTACGGTTGGCTCAAACGGACTTCGACCAAAAACGCTGAAAAAGCCTGTCGCTACAACAACTACAATGAAAGGAAAGTATGCAGTGACAAGGCGGAGTACTAAAATGTTGAATCCAGAGGATACACCTGGAGCTAAGCGACCGTCGAAAAGCCAATACACAATGGTCCCGACCAAAGCGTTCAATAACAACGTCGCAAAGGACCTTGATGATGTACCATTGGCTATTCTGGCGAAGGAAATGGCTAAGAAACCAGACGACAAACCCCAAGCCAGGTATCTTTCGTATGCAGGGGCGAAGAAGACAGAGGATGCTCCCACTTATGCAGCGCAGACGCCTCGGATTGTTTCAAAGTCTCGCTACGGTGGTGGAGGGCTTAACTCGAGCTTGTTGACAACACAGGATTCTTCTGTGGCATCAAATGGGCAGTATTCGCAAGTGAAAGACAAAGGTGGATACAGGCGAGAGCCTCAAATAAGTATTTATGACGCGCTGCACATGGATGAACAAGAGAGTGCAAGCGATATTCGCGAAGGGGCCGGCTACAAACGTCCCAGTCGCTTTAAGAAAATGCAGGAGGAAGCAGCACGAAATGGCACCCCTATGGTTAAGAGCCGGCTGCAGGATACAGATTGGGACAAAGTTCCAATTCCGAAGAAGAAAAAACAAGCATCGCAGGTGGAAAAGTCTACGCTGGATGCAAAGACGTCAAAGACGGTATCAGTTGGTAATGTTGCAAAGCAGGGAGGGAACGCGCAAAACAAACGTCGCAAGAAGAACTCGGCCTCGTCAAAGAAAAACACAGGGCCCAGCTACTATGGGCCTCAAGCCGCGCAGTCAGCGAAATCGGACAAGTATGATTCACCTTCGCGTGGACGACGTGGACGGGAGCATAGTAGTTACAGGCGCGATGATGATCGTCGGAGAGAGCGATCACCGTCACCGCATTCTAGAGATCGCGACCGGCATGACAGGCGTGATGATCGCAGGCGTCGAGGGTCATCTCGATCGAGGTCTCGCTCTCTGAGCCCACGAGGTATGGACTACGGCAGCAGTCGGCATCGCCGCCGTTCGCGTTCGAGGTCGTGGTCGCGTGAGAGATCTAGTGAGCGTGATCATCGCCGTACGGATAGCCGCGACTGGAACCGACAAACTAATGGTAGTCGGCGTTCGCGTTCTCCAGATTTCCGTGACTCCAGCAAGAAAAAAGAGTCAACCGAGCCGCTTGAGGTGGGTGAAGTCTGCCAAAACGGTAAAATTGAAGACTCTGATCGACCCGCGAAGAAGCAGAAGACGTCACATTCCTCGGAAACATCTCCTTTACCTGGTGCATTGGCCCCGTTTGATGACGATGGCGACAATATGTTCATCTCGGACTCGGACGATGATGGAAATGCTTTGATAAAAGAAGTCGAAGACATCCGCTTCAATCTGGACAGCGTTTCCGTGGATGAAGGTCTGATGGCCAGGCAGGTGTACGTGACAGGAGTGAACGCGACTGTGTTTGCTGAGCAGATTGAGGAGGACTTTGCGCGTTTTGGTGTTGCGGTAAGTTGCTCAGACGTTCTTGTCTGTGCGTAGTGCGCAACTGACTTGTGTCTTTGGACTGCAGGTTGACAGAGAGACTGGGTTTCCGGCTATTGACATCTTCTCGTGTCAGCGTACCCGTTTCGGTCGAGGCGATGCTTGCGTGACATTTGAGACGGAGAGGGGAGCGCTCGAAGCCGTAGAGGAACTTAATTGTGAGTCGTCGGGTCGTTCTTTTTCTCTGTCTGTTGCGTGATTGATGACTCATGTGTACAATTATTTGCCATGTTGAGCAGCGAAAAACGTTAAAAACTCGATGATTCGCGTGCAGCGAATGGATGCCCATACGCAGCGCATTCTCACGGTGCAGTTTCAAACAGCACGAGATACATGGAAGTGTACTGGGACTAAATGCCGTGCGGATGTGAGTATTTGGAATGCCAAGTGTGACAAGTGCGGACGACCGCGTGTGTATGGACCGAGCAACATCAAAATTGGAGCTGAATCCTGGCTGTGTTCGCTGTGAGTCTTTTAACTATGGACGCTTTGCTCTATCGACTACGTTTTCTCTAACTGCTAGTTGTTGCTTTTGCAGTTGCTTCACAGCAAACGACTCATTCGCTACGAGTTGCCTCGGATGCAAGGAATCATTACCAGAGGTAGACCGCGCGACGTTCTACATGTTGTGATTCCCGCATCGGGCGCGCACTGCACACGCGATTGACACGAACGATCCAAGGAACCTACGCCGAAGAAAACGGAAGGAAAGAGGAGAGGAGTTAGATGTCCGTCGTTGCATGTTGCGTCTCGTGCGTGTTGTGTGCGTGTTGGTGTGTGCGTTGAGTGTTCTTTTGACGTGAAAAGTTGGGGGGTCGTGCTGCGCGTGGCCTAAGGGGTGAAGGAGACGAAAAATAAACGGTGATGGCGCAGAGGAGAAATGTCTAGCGGGGTCATGAAGAGTGACGTGTTGCCAAACGAAAAATAAGCCAAGCAGGACCATACCAAAAACCAAATCCGTCCAAACACAGCCAGTATTGAATGACAACGTCAGCGGTTCTGCAATCAGCCTAGTACAACCAAAACATGCAGTTCCATCAGCTCGAATCATCAATCGAGCAATCGACCGATCCAAACCCACGACTAGTATGACAAAACCATGCTGATTGTATGCCATGCAGTGTGGTGTGCGTTAGCACCGTGGACCAACGTGTAGACCAAAGGTTGTTGTCACAAACAAACGTGGTGTAAGCAAAAGAGTTGTAGTTCACATTTAGTCACTCTCTAGAGGGAGTACAATGACTATTGAAGTGAGCCCATACAAACGGCAAGCTAACACTATTTATGTCGCCGCCAAAAAGGGGGACAGTATCCAAAAAGCTCAAGAAGCAAACTAAGCAAGCAGCAAACCCGGAGGAAGGACACCCGGAAGCAGAGCAGCCCGACGCCAGCCAAGTCCCTGTCGCGTCGTCTTCTCTCTCTTTCCCTCGTCCTCTCCTCTCTCCTCTCCCTCACTTTCCCCCTGCCATGTCCACCGCTCCTGAAGGTGAGGAGGGCACGTCAGCCTAAACTGATTCCTTCAACACACTAGCAATTTCTAATTTATTATTTTTATTTAGAGGCAGTGACTGCCATGGAGGAAGTTCTGGTGCAGCCAGCCCCGGTCCATGCAACCTCTAGCAGTGGTAGCGGTGGCTCAGGTGGCGGTGAGAAACCGCTACCGCCCCGCAAGGAGCGCAGCAAGTCGCGCGACGCCGGCAAGCGCATGGGCGGCGGCCAGAAGGCGTCCTGGAAGGTGACGGAGATCCCGCAGGCTGTGCCTGCGGATGAGCGCGACCCCAACTACGATAGCGAGGCGGAGGAGAACGTGGTGCTCGTGTCCACCGTGGCCGGTTCGCCAACGAAGTCGACGCCAACGCTCGAGCCGGACGAACTGGCGGCCAAGGAGCTGGCGCTCAACCCGCCGCCGGAGATCAAGAAACGCATCATCGTGATTCTCGAGGAGTATTTCACTAGCGGAGACGCCGACGAAGTGCTGAGCTCACTCAACGACCTGGACGAGCCCGAGTTCAACTACGAAGTGGTCAAGCGTGCGATCACCATGGCCATGGACAAGAACGACAAGGAACGCGAGTTGGCATCGCGTCTGCTCTCAGCGTTGTATCTGGACGGCCTCACGGCTGGACAGGTGCTTATGGGCTTCCGTCGCGTGCTGCTGCTGGCTGGAGACTTGCAGATTGACATCCCCACGGCCAAGAACATGCTGGCCATCTTCTGCGCGCGTGCGGTAGTGGACGAGATCCTGCCGCCCAGCTTTCTGGAGGACCCGTTCATCACGCGATACGCCCCCGAGATCGCGGCTGAGGCGATTAAGAAGCTGAGCATCAACCACGCTACGGCACGAATGGAGAAGGCTTGGGGACCTGGCGATGGCCGTCCCGTTGAGGAGCTCAAGGTGGCCATTGACCAGCTTACCAAGGAGTATTTGCTGTCGCGTGACCTCGAGGAGGCTGCGCGTTGTGTTCGCGAGTTGAATGTGCCGCATTTCCACCACGAAGTGGTCAAGCGCGGCATCACGAACTCGCTTGAAGAGGGTGGAGAGGCCAACAGTGCAGCCATGGCGTCGCTACTGGCCTATCTGGTCTCGAACGAGGTGGTGTCCACGGGTCAGCTGATTAAGGGCTTTGAGCGCTTCAAATTCGTACTGGACGATGTCGCTCTCGACATTCCTAACGCTGCTGCATTGTTCAAGGACATTGTGGCGCGCGGTATCAGTGACGGCATCCTCCCTAAAGACTTCGACGCTAGCGCGGCCAAGAAGCAGTAAGGCGGAGGCCAACATGCAACCAGTAGTCGAGGACTCGGCAGAGTAATCTACTCGCGCATAATTCACAACTTTTTTTTTCATTGCAAAGTAAATTACGATAGAAATAGTTTAGAAACGAGCATGGAGATGCTCGTTTGGTTGCATGTTTGCCTCCGCCTTACTGCTTCTTGGCCGCGCTAGCGTCGAAGTCTTTAGGGAGGATGTCGTCACAGATACCGCGCGAAATGTCGGACACTTTTGTCCTACGAGCAGCATGGGTCAGCCGACACGGGCACCTTGGCCGTGTCCCTGCCGAACACGAAGAAGCTGGTCATAAAGCCCACCACGATACTGGTGATAAGCGTCAGGTCGTACGTCATGACCACCAGCATGAGAAGGTACGCGAGCAGAATCCTCACGCCACGCATTAGCGAGTCGCCCAGGTGCGCCCAGTTGCCGACCTTCACGGACGTTAGCGGTGGCGATCTCACTGTCAATGAGGCCGATGTTGGGTGCGCATGCTCTACCATAGAGAGCGTCACGGCTTTGGCGTCCAGCGTCTCCATCAGCTCTGGCCTCTCGGGATGCACCGCCGACTCTTCCGTCGCCTCTGCGTGCTTGCACGTCTTACTGCTCTTATCGCAGTCCGTACCCAGTTCCGGGTCGTAGAAGCTCGACCCGCCGTTTCTTTGCGCTAAAGCCGTAGCAAAGCGGCGCTTGGAGAAGTCCTTGGACTGCTGCAGCTGGCAGTCGTTGGACGTCGTCAAGTATTGGGACAACACGGCAAGAAGGAAGACCACAAGACACGCCAGAGCAGCGCGTGAGAAGCTCGTAAGCCCCCAGCTTTCGAGCCACAGCATGGAGCAGTCGTCCATTGGGTCACGTCCAGCCCACTTGAACCCAGCCGTGCCCATGAGCGACCCCGGTCCCATGCAGAAGCCACCTCGCTCCATTGTTGTTGTCGATGTCTGTCGTTCGGAAATGAAGCTCTGACTCAGACTTCCACTAAAAAAGCTTCTTATTCAAAACTTTTTGGTAAATTGTGCTCATTTTTTAGTCCACCACTCAGTATTTCAACAATATATTGTTGAATGAAAACCGTCAGATTGAACATGCCACGACAACCTAGTGTTGTTGGCAAGCCACTGCATATTTTGCCCTGTGTCAGCGATAGCTCCTCGCGAGGCGTACACGACCCAATGATCTAAGTGGCCGAGTAATGACCTGCGTCGAGTTAACATCCCGTCAAGATACAAGTATTCATTATCACAAGGTGCGTTTTCGGTAGTCTGCATGCTCAATGATCTGAGTCCAAACCCTCCTGTATATAATATCACGGGTTTACTGCTCCTTTGCGACCATCACTTTTGGCAGGATTTCCACCACGTCAGTACAGCAACCTCAAGACTTCTCTACCAGTACCAGATCAACCTGCTGTCTCTCACGCACCCATGACCAGCGTAAACCATCGTCTCGCAGCGCTTCTCTTGCTGTGTACGGCCATATTCGCGCTCTCCAGCGTCAACGCCATGAACATGGACGACATGCCGGTAATACCCTCCGTCCTCCACCACGTGTGTATCTGCTGAACCTCACCCCACGCTCTATTCAGGACGACCCCGTAAGCGGCGAGATGGTAATGAGCAAGGCTTACAACCTGCAGCTCAAGAACGGTCAGAGACTACGCTTCGCCACTCAAGACACGCTTGACGCCTTCCTCGACGACCCGGTACGTTATGCCAGCCTTGTAGCATCCAGCGCAGCCTCTAACGATGCTATTCCATTACAGCTAAAGGGACTGAAAGGTGTGATGTCTGCTCCATCCACACACCATCATAATGAGGAAGAGAAGAGCGTATTATGCCCCGTGTGCGGCATGGCGTCGTCCGTCTCTAGTGGCCCGGAAGTAACGATGAGGCACGGCGACCAGGCAGTGCACACGTGCAGTATGACGCATGCGCGTGAAGTGTACGACGATATTCTGTCGTTCCAAGCCTCAAAGGAGGGAAATGCGGCTAAAGGAGAGCACGGATTCTGCTCTGGACCAGGCACGACCATGTTGAACGGCTTCTCGCTAAGTGGCAACTCCACGCCGTGCATCTTGCTGTGGTTCCCCGGGTGGGTGTTAGATTCGCGTGTACGCTACATTTTTGGGGGCATCCTGGTGGCACTGGTGGCTGTTTTCAACGAGTATTTGTTGCAGTTGCGCCGTGTACTGCGTAAGGTGAGCAGCGTCAAGCGATTGATGAGCAGCAACGCGCCAAATGCTGCGGAGAGTGCTCAATTACTGCGATCGACGGCTCAAAATATGCCGTTGGCCGACTCCTGTGGGCCGAATTGGTTCCGTACACTCTCTCCAGAGACACAGCACGGTATACACTGTTTGCTCCATGGCGTCACTCTTTTTGTGGCCTATATGCTCATGCTAGTGTCCATGACGTACGACTTTACGTTGCTATTGTGGGTAATTGCCGGCTATGTGGTCGGCCACTACGTCTTTGGCGAGCGCCGTGAAGCTCCTCTTAGCAACGGGGAGATGGAGTCCAATTTTCCATAGACAGTTGAGCTGTCTTTGCTTTTTTTCCATTCATTTCTAACGTTAATATATGGCTCACAACTGCCGAAAGCACGATGAAAAATGACTATAACTGGATGCAGGAAAAACGCCGATATACTAGACGCGGATCCACTACGCGGACTTATTGACCTTGACGAAGAAGGGAATGCCAATCTGGGACGCAAGACTAGAGTCATGCAACATCCATGCCATGGAGGTATTGCGCTTTAATTGTGCACGTGAAAAAAAGTATCAATCTGTCAGATGTATCAAGCGTGGATGCGCTCGCATGGACTTGCGACTCGCCGCCGACAGGAAGAGATCGCGGCTCAATTGCTAAACGAAATGTTGGTGTAGGAGCGCTTATCGTCGACGTCTACGACTACAAGTTGACCGGAAATCCTGGAAAGCAACGAGCCAATGAACCTAAGCCGTTGATTTTTTTTTTCACAAGCAAGTAGAAGAGAACGGAAACAGTCACGAAGATGGAGTATCGTCAGCTGGGCCTATGACCAAAACCGCCAAACTGGGACGCCAGACTCGCGCAGATTACGAATACGAGCCAGATGATAAGAGCTGATCGCGCGAAGTTACAAAGCGTATACCAAGTTGCTCGATGGCTCCTTCACTATTGCAAAGTCCGCAGCGACGAGATCCTGACGACAGCTACACTGAGAAGATTGACGCCAACCGAGTCAAACCAATCTAGTAAGGAATCTTGAAAATCTCCGGATCATGCCGAGGAAAGACAAAGTTTTGATAATACATTTTTTTTCTACATCAATTGTAGTGTCAGGAACGCCGTTAAAAGCAGCGCGAAAGCTTCGACTGGTGAGGTGCGCGCACCAGCGCTCTCCTTGTCGTTTGCAGACGCCGAAGAGCCACTAGCTGTCGACGATGACGCTGTTTTGCCCTCGTTGAGATCGGCTAGTGTGCTGGAGTCAAAGTCGTTGGACTTCTGGCCGTCACACATTGGCTGTGCAACGGAGCATGACAAAGTTTCAACTGCAACACAATACAAAACTTTAGTTGGCAATGAACTATATGTAATTGCCACTGCATTGAATTCCTCACCGTCGGGCGTTTCTGGCAGATCCATTGAGAGACCGGATGGGCACTTGAGAGCGGACGTCCTGGTTGGTGTGAATGAATCCATTTCGACAGTCGAATTCTTGGTGGTCGTGTAAGCCTCTTTGAGGTTGTCGTATTCAGGGTAAGCCGTGAACTCGCACGTCGTGTTTTCGTTGTCACAATCGTCCGGTTGGAAATACCCCACACCGTATTTGCCTTTATCCGCTTTCTTCGTCAGCTCTAAATGCAAAATAAAGGTGTTCATTAGGGGGATCTAATTAACCATGGAGCAACCTTTTTAAAATACCAAAAACGTACCCTTTTCCCCCTCGAGGTTGGCAATTTCGGTTGAAAACTCAAAAACATTGCCACCCACAATTTCCTCCGTCATATCAGCCTCTTCATTCATCCACTTGGCCTGCAAGACATACACCATCAGTCATTTTATAATACCAGTCAAAGTGCAAAATTACCACCTACATCGTAAAATGTGCGCTGATTCTCGTATTCATCCATAGTGTTGTCTCCCGTGTTGCAGCCGAATTCGCCGAACATGATGGGACGCGGATACGCTGCGTCCTTGTAGTCCTTCATAAGCGTCACTAACCCCGTCGACTGCGAATACTCCGTGTGTCCAGTGGGATCACACTCGACGTACGGGTTGAACCCCATCCATTGAGCTCGTTCGTAGGCGTCTCCACTGCCACTCGAACTATCATTGCTGGCTGCACAGTCAAAGTACTGCAGCCATTGCGCTCTCGGTGGGATATCCGCCATCTCCACCCCAATCGGGACTTCTCGCAAGCTGCCCACACAACTGTCAGCGTACTCCCGGATGTCCCGGATCATAGCCTTAATGCAGGGCATGACTGCTTCTCCTGAGTCTCCGTCCACAGAGATGAGGTTGGGCTCGTTAGCCACGCTGAAAAGCAGCGTATTGTCGTACACTGCAAAGGCGTTGTACACCATTTGCATGCGTGTGAACATGTCGTCTGGGTAGCATTTCGGGGCGGCCACATCAGCCACGGAGCAGCCTTCGCAAGGTGCAGCCATGCCCACAGACACGTAGATTCCAGCTTGGGAACACGCACACATGAATTTGTCGTGTGACACACTGGGATCGACTGAGTACAGCCGAATTGTGTTCACTCCGAGGTCCTGCATGACCTCGAGGTGAGGTTTCCACACATCTTCGTGCTCGTCAGCCGCCCAGTCGTAGTTAGTGACGTCTGCCATTTCGCCACTGTTGGGTCGCGGGTAGTAGGCCATCCCCTTGATGCGGAATTCGAGACCAGTCTCCGAGTCGAAGAGCTTGTTGCCCTTGGCGACGATGGGAGCGAGCCATGCCGAGGTGAAAGGTAAAGAGGCCAACAGAACGGGGAGCACGCGATGCAGCATTGTTGCGGAGATTTTTGGATTGTGGCAGATTTTGTCAATCAAATGATCTCAGTGTTCGATTGAAGATCGCAATGGATACAAATCAGGGACGAATCGTTATGACAGGTTTGCTGTTCGAGCCGAAAGTGTAACCAATTTGTTTTCTCACTGAAACGTCAACGTTTGTCAAAACGTTTACAAGGCGTTGGTGTTGGCATTCTCCATTATGATTGAGTCGGGTGCCACGGTGATCCACTTTCGCTTCTGCTATGAAACGGGGTTTGCTTGGCAACATCAGTTCAAAAGTGCATCCATGAAGGAGAATTGTAGAGTTGTGCTACTGTATTACCTAGACTCAAGCCGCAGAGAACACTCGAGGTCGAAGCTTCGAGTGTCTGTCAACTCCCTGTTCATCAATCGCAATGCAACAGAGCGTCGCTACCGGACTCCGGTTCGGAGAGGCTGGGTTGGGATGTGTTTCGGCCGTTCCCATGGCGTTCGAACATCCTTACGAAAGACGCCCGTTTTGCCGACGAATGTACTACACCAATTCCATCAAGAAATATTCAAATGCTGCTTATATTTTCGTTTGCAACAATGCACACTGTGCAAGTCTATCTGTGTTTATTGAGGCTGTCACCCGCCTGCATCCTATCTGCAAGGAGTTTAGAATGAGACGAACGAGCGCAATTCGTTTGGTAGGCACACAGTGCCGTTGTTCAGCTTGGACACGTAGGCTTCAAGCGCTGAGTCCACACGTTCAGCTTCCGCCTCGCTAACCTTCACCGTGGCATTTACACCTTCAATCACAGCAAACTCGGTCGTGTACAGGTAGTTACTGAGAGCCATGACGAACTCGTCCGTGTCTTTGATGTCGCCTGTGTTAGTCGGGTGGTTAAGCCACGTCAAACTTGAGACGGCGCCGGCGCCATTGCCCGTGCACGTGTACGTATAGTTGAAGCCCGACGGGTGAACGTAGAAGCCGTTCTGTTGGACGACGTTGTCGCCACAGTTTCCGACCATCTCGCGGTTCAGGAACAGCTTGAGTGACGCGCCGTTAGTCTGGATGGTCATCAACGTGTTGCCGAACGGCGACCAGGACAGCACCTCACCCAGGGACAGATTACCGGCAGCCACGACCTTGTCACCGCGAATACCGCCACCGTTCATGACGGCAATGTCAGCCGAGCCAGCACCGTAGTACTGGAGACCGGCATCCGCGAACAGGTGGCCGATCTTGCAGTCCTTGGCGCGCACGACGCTCTGTGTGAGGTCCAGGTCCTCGCACAGGTTGCCGATGACCTGTTCCTCAAGCGCGTCCATCTGTGCCTGGTACGTGGCGATGACGGCGTCCAGCGAGTTGTCTGTCGGCATACTCTCGACAATCGGGATAGCCTGGTGCGTCATAAGCGACTTGCGGTCGTTGTCGGCGTCGGCAGCGTAGTATTCAACGTGCGACTTCCAGATAGAGCGGAAGTCGAAGTCGGATTTAAGATACGGCGTGCCGTAGTTGGTCTGCAGCATCGACGTGTGGTCGTGGCCACCGATGATAAGGTCGATGCCTGCAACCTCTTTCGAGAGGCGGTTGTCGTCCGCCAGGTCCTGGTGGGTCATGGCGATAATGAAGTCAACGTTTTGAGCCTTTAGCGCCGCCACCTGCTCCCGCGCAGCTTGGATCGGGTCCTCCCAGTACAGACCTTTGCTGGTATCTTGCATGTCATACATAACGCCGAACAAGCCGATGGAAATGTGGCCGTTTGTAGCGTCAGTCAAGTTCTTGATGGCGTGCGGCACCGTACCGCGCAGTAGCTTGCGGTTAGCGATTTCGTAGCAGTTGGCGTTCAACCACGGGAAGTTGGAGTTGAGCGTCACGTTCATAAAGTTCTCAAGGCCGAAGTCGAACTCGTGGTTGCCCAATGATGCAAAGTCCAGACCGATGGCGTTGTGTGCCTTAACCATGTGCTGGCCGTTAAATTGCGTCGACCAGAGCGACGGCGAGACTGTGTCGCCGGCGAACAGCACGAGACTGTTCGGGTTGGCCTCTCGCATGGCCTTGGCAACGGGAACCACTCGCGACGGACCACCGAGCTTAATACCTTCGACTGTGTCCTGTAACATCTCGTAGACGTCGTTGTAAGACAAGATGTCGAAGTTGGCGGTCAGAGTGCGAGCCTGTACATCGGTAGCCGAGATGGCGCCGAGTAAGAAGGCTAGAGACCCCCAGAGCTGCATGGTCAAGTACAGACGAACTGTTGCGGAGGACGCAAATTACGGAATGTTGTCTTGCACGAACAGCGAGGGATAGACGTCCGTGCCCGTTGCCTGAGCCGGTGGAGAGGCAGACATACGGTGGCGTGTACTAAGGAGGCTAGGCAAGATATTTGTGGCCTTTGCCCCATCTTAGTCCTGTACACATCACTGGAAAATGTTAGTCGGATAGTCGGTCCATACAAACGGACACTTGAAGGCGATTCGACAGCTTGGTTTGTGGCTCGGCGTGCTTGTTACGTATCCCTTTTAGTCCGCTCGGATGTTGCACTCGGTCAGCAATGGAGCCTCAGAATGTAAATCATCGTATCCACACATTGCGAGCGTGGAAGTTGCCATTCTGCCGATGTGAGCTTTGAGTGTACTACTAGATCCTTTTTTTTTAGTTGAACGCTTGAACTGTGCACATGCATATCAGAGCCCGTCGTCTACGATGCTGAGGTGTATGTGTTCGTCGTCAAGCGCAAAGGTGCCGGTCCTCAATTTCCAAGCGACCGCATGGCGCTGAAACGAGTCGCTGTGGCAGCATTTGAACATGGTAGAACAACAGATGCACGCAGTCGCAATGCCAGTCGCAGAGATGTAGTTTCACAGAGCCCTCCGCCAGTTCTTGCGTTGTTGGGCCTGTGGTGGGCCACCAACACAGCCTGTGTGAAGTTTATGAATGCAGAATCCGCAGAGCACGTTCACGCGCCATGGAAAATACCGAAACACATCCAAGCCCATACTCCTCGATGGTACAACAAAAGCCGTCACAGAGCGCTCTGTGTGCACCTTGCCGCACACTGACGCGATGGACAGGTGCCGTTGCGACTGATGAGCGGGTGTCGACCCGAAATCGAGTCTGCGATGGTAAAAGTTGCCTCAACATCTCCATGCGTCTGACCGTGACTCTCCTCCGCCTCTAAAGTGCGTCACTGCCACGTCCGCTATTGCCACTACCAACATTTTACATGCTCCATTTTGGTCGCGTAGTGATTCGGTCCTTGTATTCTAACTTCTTTTATTAGAATTGTGCTCCAAGTACTAGTAATACATAAGGA